TCGATATGTTGTTGAGCTTCCAAGCGCTTTTCATCGAGCCTCTCGAGTTCTTCGAGGCGTTTCTGATGTTGTTCTTCGGTCGTCATCTGGGTTGCAAGAGCGATCCGAAGAGACGGAATTTGGATTTCCAAAGGGAGAACAGCTTCACATCCGTATATCAGTGAATACGGGGTTGCTCCTGTCGGTGTGCGCACCGTGGTCCGATAGGCCCATAAAGCCGCGTCGAGCTTGTCATCCCAGTCTCGTTTGTTAGTTTTCACGGTGTTTGACAAGAGTTTGATGATAGTCTTGTTGAAGGCTTCAGCTAATCCATTCGCTGTAGGATTATAAGCCGTCGATGAGATATCCTGGATTTTAAACTTTTCGCAGAACCTTATGAAGGCGTTGCTGACAAACTGAGGACCGTTGTCATGTATGATTCGTCTTGGAACACCATACCTATAGATGATGTGGTGCTTGATGAATCCAATGACGTTGCTCGTTTTAACTTCCCTGAGCGGAACTGCTTCAGCCCATTTGGAGAAGTAATCGGTGATTGCCAGGATGAACCGGTCGCCTTTGACTGATGGGGGATTTATAGGGCCAACAATGTCCATTCCCCAAGTCTCGAACGGCCATGACGTGACCGAAGGATGCAGATGCTCCGGAGGTTGGTGCACATAATTCCCGTGCATTTGACATGCATTACACTTTCGGGCATATGCAATTGCATCATTCATCATGGAAGGCCAAAAATACCCCATTCTTCTGATGCGATCGTAAAGCTTGGGACCAGGTTGGTGTGCGCCACACTCTCCTTCGTGTGCCTCCCTAAGGACCTCTTCAGCTTCTTTGGTTGATAGGCAGCGCAATAGCAACCCATCGTACCACCTGCGGTATAGCGTTCGATTCTCCGTATTATAGTAGAATCTTGGTGCTCTTCGTCTGATTGACTCTCTTTCCTTTATATCTTCTGGTAAGATTCCATGCAAGACGTAGTCGATGATGGGGAAACACCAATCTCGTGGTTCGAACCCGATTTGAGTAGCGTGCGCCTCTTGAACCTCTTCTTCCCTGGCATCTTCATTGTAAAGCGGCACCAGGAGTTGGTGAGTTCTTACCGTAATAAATTGCTCCGTTTTGGGAGGCTGCGCCAGTGATACGGCCAATGCTGCCAACGCGTCTGCATAAGTATTTTGTAGCCGTGGAATATGTTCGATAAAGAATCCTTCAAATGACTCCGCCATCTCTACCGCCATCTTATGGTATGGTATTAGATCTTGGCTTCGAACTTCATATTCTCCTTGGACTTGCTTGACTATTAGCTGAGAATCACCGAAAGCTTCGAGATACTCCACCCCCAGTTCTTTAGCAAAACTGAGTCCTATGAGTAAGGAATGAGTAGGCGCGAGGCATCACATGTTTTCCTGGGGAAACTAAGACTACTCCAACTCCGGAGGAGATTTTAGAACTTCCAGGAGCACTTGCAACATTAGTTGCTCGCGAAGCGCCGTCGAAGTATAAACGCCATACTTGTTGGTGTGAAGTCGCGTTGACTTCGTAGGTTTCATCCGGTAAGCCGTCATATATCTCGGCGGTATCCGTCGTTGGATTGTCTGCCAGAAGATCGCAGATGGCCTGTCCTTTTACTGACTTCTGTTGTTTAAAATGCAAGTCGTATTGGGACAAGAGTAAGGCCCATTTTGCTAATCGCCAGCTCATTGACGCCGGTTGAGTCATGAATACTCGAACCGGATTAACTTTAGAGATGACGTAAATGGTCTGTCCAACCAGATAATGCCGCATCTTCTGAATAGCGAACACCAAGGCTAGGCATTCTCTCTCAATCATGGGATATCGAGATTCTGCGCCTACCATGGTTCGGCTCAAATAATACACTGCCTGCTCGTGACCGTTATCGTCATCTTGTGCAAGCAATGCACTTAATGAGTGGCTCGTCGCCTTGACATAAATCAAGAACGGTTCGCCCGATTTCGGTGCAACGAGTACAGGAGGTTTTGAGAGATATTCTTTAATACTCTCGAATGCCTTTTGACAAGCTTCATCCCATACAAAAGATACGCCCTTCTTTGCGAGCCTGGAGAATGGTTGGCATTTTCCTGAGAGGTTCGAGATGAACCGACGGATGTAAGCCAATCGTCCTTGCAATCCTCTGAGCTCCTTGAGGTTTCTCGGAGACTGCAATTCATTAATCGCTTTTACTTTATCGGGGTCGATGTGAATACCTTTGGTAGTGACGACAAACCCCAGGAATTTACCACTGGACATTCCGAGAAAAGACTTGGTAGGATTCATCTTCAATTGATGGGTTCGCATTAAGTCGAACATGGTCTTCAAGTCCTTAATGTAATCTTTCTTATCACGACTTTTCACGACCAGATCATCTACGTAGCATTCAACAGTCTTTCGGAGATGTTCTTGAAAGATCTTTGACATGGCTCGCTGATATGTAGCACCTGCATTCTTTAAGCCGAAGGGCATAACTGTGTAGCAGAAGACGCCGAGAGGCGTTCTGAATGCCGTGTGCTTTTCATCATCTGGATGCATCTTTATTTGGTTATAACCAGAGAAACCATCCATGAACGACATCCTCTCGAACCCACACGTATTGTCGATGATAACATCCGTGATGGGGAGGGGAAAATCATCTTTTGGGCAAGCAGCATTGAGGTCCCGAAAGTCGATGCAAATTCTGACCTTCCCGTTCTTCTTAAGGACCGGGACAATATTAGCAAGCCATTCTGGATATTGCTCCTCCCGAACGAAGCCTGAGTCAATAAGCTTCTTAACTTCGGATTCGATCGCCTCCATCATTTGCGGACGAAACCGTCTTTGTTGTTGTTTGACAGGTTTGACATCCGTCTTGATATTGAGACGATGCACTGCTACGTTTGGATCGAGCCCTGGCATGTCTTCATAATTCCAGGCAAACACATCGATGTACTCCCTGATTAGAGAGATCAACTCTTCTTTCTCTTCGGGCGGGAGGCTGTCGCTAATGAATATAGGCTTCGGATT